TAAAACGTGCTGTTGTGTATGATTTGGCGAATTGTTAGTACAAACATATGAGTTGAAGTTAATATATTCCTTTTAGTCATTATAGGATTAAAAGCGATATCTTGGGCCCCTTGATGATTTTTTTGACGTATGTGCTAGGCCCGGTCAAAACTCAGTTGATGTGTTCGATTAAGTTCTATTTCAAACAAATCGGAGGTCGGGAAACAAACTGTTGGACAATAAGTATGACGTTGTTCCGTGTATTTTTCTGGTTGATATCTTGAGAACAGAGGATTATATGATCACTTGTCTAAAATGGCGTGTCTTAGTTCAACAAAGTTTTAAGAGCTATGATTGTTGGTTGGTTCTTGAAGTCGTACTTGCAACTATAGTTATTAGACTTATCCAAGTGGGAGGCTGTTGGATAAGGTGTCTATGTCCATAACTATATTTGGTAAGTACTTGACCCGATTTAGCATGGTCCATTTGGGTTGCACTTCACCATAACAATTTGGAATTTTTGAGAAGAGGATACTTATGATTTATTAATATATTATAAGTTGTAATATATTAATATGATATCATATTATTTAATTAGTATTGATCAAGAATTAATTTGGAATTAATTTTTGTGATCAAAAGAAACTAATTAAATAAATGGGGATTGATTGTGTAAATCATTCATTCTTGTAAAGTGGGCTTATGATCCATAATTCTTTATGTTGGGCTAAACCAACGTGGTGACCCATGGATACTCCATGGAGGTTAAAACCCATGGAGCATAAGGAATGTGGAAGGTCATGCACATTAGGGTTTGCATGGTGTAACCCTAATCATGACACACTATATAAGAAACACCCTAGCTACCAAAATCGGCACTATGTGTGTGTAAGAGTGTAGCCGATTTTGTGAGCAAAGGAGTCCTCTTCCAAGTCTTCCAAGTGTTAATGGTGATCTGTGGTTCCATTTGAGGCATTCACATTATTGGTGCTAGGCTCTTAAAGCTCCAAGCAACAAGCTACAATAAAAAAGTATGTTATCTAACTAGTTTTATTACCCAAGTATCAAAGTTTTGTGTGCTAGTTAGGGTAATTCCTTAGAAAGTTAAAGTTTGCATGTATAATAGAGAAAACATAGATCCAAAGTATTTCGGGTTGCATGTACACCTTAGGAGTGTTAGAATGCTCAAAAGCCATCATTTTCATCGGTTACCCACAAAATTCTTTTAGATACTTTTTCTACAGACCTAGTGAAAACGTGGTTTTCATAGCACGAAGGGGAGTCTTTCACGAGATAGAGCTCATATGAAAAGAGGAAAGTAGGCGTACAATTGATCTTGAAGAAATTCAAGAGTCAAGCAATGAAGGAACTTCTAACACTAGTACTCAAACTGGCAAAGAAAATCATGTTGAACCTATTGACGAGTCATTACTTCTTAGACGTTCCACTTGAGTTAGAATGGCACCTAAGTTTTATGGTTTCCATATTACTACAGATGGTGATACATTTATCAGTGATAATACACTGGTAAATTAGGATGAGCCTTCTAACTATAAGGAAGCCATGTCGGGCCCAGATTCTGCTAAATATAAAGAGGCGATGGACAGCAAGATCCAGTCTATGTATGACAATCAAGTTTGGAACTTCATTGATAATGTGCCAATTTGTAAGATAGTATAGTGCAAATGGATCTTCAAGAAGAAGATAGAGATGGATGGAAATGTACACACCTTCAAGGCTTGACTGGTGGTGAAGGGCTTCACTCAAACCCTTGGGGTTGACTATGATGAGACGTTCTCACTAGTGGCTAAGATTAAATCTATTAGGGTTATGTTAGCCATCGCTGCGTTTCATGATTATGAAATCTGGTAGATGGATGTCAAAACCGATTTCCTTAATGGAAAGTTGGCTGAAGATGTTTACATGAGTCAGCCAGTGGGTTTTGCGGATGCTAAATACTCCAATAGAGTGTGTAAGCTTGAGAAATCAATCTATGGATTGAAGCAAGCTTCGCACAGATGGAATCTTTGCTTCGATGAGAAAGTCAAACTTTTTGTTTCTCTAGGAGTGAAGATGAGTCTTGTGTATATGTCAAAGCTAGTGGGAGTATAGTTAGCTTTCTAGAATTCTATGTTGATGACGTACTACTCATAGGAAACGACATTCCTCCCGTGTAGGAAGTTAAATCCTAGCTTGGAAAGTGTTTCACTATAAAGGATCTAGGAGAAGCTGCTTATATTCTAGGAATAAGGATTGTGAGAGATGGGAGTAGAAAACTAATTGGAATTAGTTAAATTACTTATTTGGATAAAGTGCTAAATTGTTTTAGCATGGAGAATTCCAAGAAAGGATAGTTACCTATCCAAAGCAATAACAAACTGAGTAAGACTCAGAGTCCGAGTACGGATGACAAGATAGCAGATGTGGCTTTTTGCCTGATCATGTGCACTGTGAAATGTACTCGCCATGATGTGGCTTTTTGCCTGATCATGGTCAGTCGATATCAAGGGAAATCGAGTAAAGCTCATTGGATAGTGGTCAAGAACATTCTTAACTATTTGCGAAGGACTAAGGTCTGGGTCCTTGTACTTGGTGGCAGTAATGACTTAAGAGTCATAGGGTATAGTTACGCTAACTTTCTGACTGATAGAGACAACTTCCTATCTCAGTCAGGATGGGTCTTTACCCTTAATGGAGGAGCTGTGACTTGGAAAAGTTCCAAGCGGGGGATCGTGGTTGATTCAACGTGTGAGTCAGAATATATAGCCACGAGCAAAGAGTAAAAGGAGGCTATATGGTTGAAGAACTTCATTGGAGACCTTAGCGTTGTGCTAGCTATAAAGGAGCCCATGGAGATTTTCTGTGATAATGATGGAACGGTTGCCTTGATCAATAAATAAGGGATCAAGGAAGATCTAGACATATCGAAAGAAAATACCACTTCATTAAACATCGGGTAGAAGAAGGACTCCTCATCAAAGTTTTAGACACTTTAGTTAACCATGATTAATTCATTGACTTACTCTATCATGGTTAGAAGACTAGTAAGCAATTTTTCTCTTCTTTAGGGCCTTATGGTCATAGATTTTAAAGGCATGGAGGTTGTTTGTCAACCTCTATCCTCTTGTCACCCATGCCTCTCTATTGTAGCCAATACTTTAATGTATTATAATCAAAAGGCTTTACTTTGAATGGGGTATTCAAAGAGGCTCTCTTTCATGAAAAGGAACTAGTTTTTTTGTCTTCTACTTCTTCCCATACAAAGAGTTCTCCCTTTTAAAGTGAGTTCTTGCTTTTGGTTTTCACTTTGTATCTTCATTGTAGTGTTTAATTGTTTAAGCACTTAAGGCTTAAAGAACAAATTCATAGAGGAAGAAATCTAGCAATTGGGGTACCTTATTCTTGGTGGTGGATACATATAGAGAACATTAAGCTTTATGTTCTTTCTATCTTCATCAACACCCTAATTCCAAGAGGGTCCAAAGGCTTCAAAGGTTGTTATTTATGAACACCCTATGGTTGTTGTAACTTCATTCTAACCTCTTTAAAAGAATCCTTGATGTTTTGGTTTTGTTGTAAAATTGAAATTTATATGAAATTTTTTAAGCTTCAGTTACCGGTTTTTAAGAAAAACTATCTATTTTATGTAACAAAACCCTTGAGGTGGACCTTTCACCTTGGTGGCGTCGAACTTATCATTGAGATCGAGGCTAAAACCAATGTCTAACTCGGAATATCTTTCCCTTTTTTTGGAGCCGGTGGTAGATCCTGAATGCTCCGTATCCGGATAAAGGACCCATTTTGGACCATTGCGACAAACTTACCATGCTTTTAGGTTGTCGAATGGTTTACCATTGTTAGTAATTTTGTATTGTTGTAACACGATTGCTAAAATGTTGAAATTGTTGCTACCACTTCTATTCATATGTTTTAGAATGTCAAATACGCCGTTAAATTTGGTGCAAGCCGCTCGAAGGTCACGCCATTTTGCATTGAGTGCATTGTCTTTCCGATTCGTTTTCATTTCTAATAACACGTGGAAGTGTTCTAAAACATGATTCCAAAAACTTTGATATATTTGTGCGTTTCCGACATCCCGACCATCTTGTGTTACGAAAATTCAAGCTTTAGCTAAAGCTTCCTCCTCCTCTTCAGGCCATTGTGTCTTTTTTTCTTGGATCTTTTGGTTTTTTCTTTCTATGATTTGGTTGTCTTTTTATCTCGTTCGTTGTTGTCGCCATTGTTGAGGTTTATAGGTTGAGATTTGGATCACTACTAGAAAAACATCCTTTTACGACGCGTAATGCGTGCCGTAAAATGCTGAGACGACGCGCAAAGGCGTGTCAAGGAAGGCCCTATCATAACAAGAGACGACATGCTTTTGTGTGTCGTCTATTTACGACGTGCATTTACAACACACATTTATGAAGCGCAGTTATGACACGCAATGTGTATCATGGAAGGCCGTGTCATAAAGGAAGACGACATACATTTGTGTGTCGTAACCTTACGACGCGCATCTTTATGACACGTAATGCATATCAAGAAAGCCCCTGTCATATATGAATATGACATGCATTTGCATGTCATAATGTTCAGTAACCATTTACGATATGCATTTACGACGCATCTTTACGATACTCATTTACGCATAATACAAGAATATGTAATCTACCAAAACAATCAGTTTCATCCAATAACATCATGTCAAAAAATTGTAACACATTGATATTAAGGGGATCTAATTATACATTGTTATTAAGAGGTTTTCCCTAACTATATAACCTAATACTACATTGCTATTAAGGGACACCTTCTGCAATGTAATGTTATACAAACTAAAAAGATATACATAAAGATGATAAACATCAAATTCCAACTAAGTAGAGTTGCATCTTGCCTTTCATAAATTTTTAAGACTAATAGTGAACCCCTGCTCTGATAATTCTTGTGACCTGATCAAATAAAAGTCAAAAAATTAACATGCTAATATAATTATTAGAAGAATCAAACATGGAATGTTAGTTGTAAAATACAAAATTACCCTTTTCTCCATCCAAAGAATGTGGGATTTGGAATAAGTACACTACATTATGAATTACCTGATATCAACAATGACAATCACAATGACAAGAATTTCCCCATACAAATGGTAAATATTACCTAGAAAGCTATCAAAAATGACAATCACAATGACAAACCTTGATCCTACGAACTAGAGAGTATATCATCACAATTACATCTAACACCACCCATGAGAACCCATAAAGCTACTCAACCAACATATCATATCATGTAATGTATTTTTTCCTAGTATATTTTCACATAGAAAAAAAGTGAAATAAATAAAAATAACAACCTTCTCATTTACTGAAATTGGAAATGTACACATCTAGGGGACCCATTTTCAGAATTACCATCCCCATTTACCTGAAATCATTCATGCCATTTTAACTAAAATAGTTTATTTTAGTAAAAAAATATTTATAATTATAGTGTTTTGTTTATATAATTTATACCCATCTATCACTAACTTCTCTTCTTTGTTTTCGCATTGCAGCATTGTGAAAGAGCCTTCGATCATCCTCACGTTTAACAGCTACAACTGCAGCTCTTAAGCTTTTCATGAAAACAAATAAAAAATCAAATTAATATAACATAAAAGGAGTTATGGTTATAGTAAGAAATAAATATTTATAATTATATTGTTTTGATGATAACTAGAAAGAGTAGGGTCTCTAAGTATCCGAATTAAGGAATTGATAGCAACCTGCAAAAGTAATAAATGCAAATTACACTAAAGGAGAAGGGTCTTTTTATATTTACTTTTTGATAAAAAAAAAACTTTACATTGGAGAAATAATCTTCTGATGTTTCAAATGATGGCTAAAAATCCATTAGCAACTCATCACTAGACTGGATATGTGGGCCTGCATTATTGGTTGTACGGGTCCCATCACCAAGAGGTCCTTGCAAGCTTTGTTGATTATGTTTATGAGCATGAGGATCCAAAGCACCCATTATTCCAAGAACCCGATTATTCATTGTTAACATATATTTTTCCAGCATGAATCTATTTACATAACATCATAGAAACTAGAAAAGGGTCAAAAACATACCATAATAACTTCATGCCTTGTAGACCATGCCGACTCACCATTCAAAAATTTTAAAAGTAATCCCAACTCTGTGTAATTATATCGAGCTATCACATAACTACAAACAAAAACCAACCGATTTTTGTAAAAGGGTAAACTACATTGCAGTGTCACTTGTAATATTTGTAAAGATGAATACATACCCTGTGCTCTGTACAACCTGACCAAGAATTGCAACAGCAACCTCATGTTTAGTAGCCACAGCTCTATCCAATAAAGCTTCAACAATTCTTGGCATAAGTTCAGGGATATATTCTCTCGTAGAAAAACCACCCTACACATATACAGGTAAGACTTAGCAAATCAAACATTTTGCATTTATGAGAACAAAAAAAATGTAACAATCTCCTATCACTCTAGCAAGATCTCCTACAGTTACAAGTACACCACTGATGATACCATTGTTTGCATTCACTCCTGCTGTTCCTTCACATAGTTTAGCCAAAAGCGCCTGAAATATGCCACGTCAGTAGAATAACTATATAACTATATATATATATATATATATATATATATATATATATATATGAAAGGTTGGTAAATAGTCAGAGTGTAAGACCTTGTGTATTGGAGCAATATATGGAAGTATAAGTCGTTCACAGCTGCAAATCAAGCAGCCTAACAGCTTTGCACTTTCTTCTCAGCATTTGCTATCAACACTGTTAAATTAAGACCAATAAAAATAAGGACTTTAAACTATATATTATTAAACATTTAAAAATTAATGATAAGACAATTGAGTTCTCACCTTTGTGCAAGATATGTTAACAACTGAATAAGGTAACGCCGAAGTGCTGGAAAAACATATCCAGGTTTTTTTAGATAATCTGCCAACCACTGATATTGCATACTTCCGAACTTGAAGATCCTACCACGTATACAATTATTAAAAATAAATAAATAAGTAATTAAATATCATTCTCATTTTGAATTAGTTGAACGAATAATTTGTAATGTTTACCTTGTCATTCAGAGCAGCAATATAGCAGTCAAGCTATCAACTTTAGGATTAGTACCTATGCAACAATCAAAAGATTATTCAACAGCAAAAAAGGAACACAAAAGTTTATAGAATACAAATTTAAAGAACTGATACAACCTACGGGGAAGATGGAATTCATAGTAGTAGTAGATTAGAATAAGAAAGCACCTGAAGACAAAAAGCTACAAAAGTTGGTCAATGATGTGTTGGTTATTTGAAGTAAAATCAGAAACCATCATCTAGGGAAGATGGATATTGTAAACATGCATTCCATCCTAAACCAGGTTTGCTTTCAGTTAAGGGCGGACATAAAGAAAAATGTAAATTAGTAACCAGTGAATCTACTTTGAAGAAGAAAATCTCACACCATGTAACCAATTCAAGATCAGAAGATTTGTCACTACTCGAGCTGGCACCACATGTATGTGCACTTTGCCGACCAAGAAGGATACCATTGGAGGAGCTTTGTCCAGGAGTTAGACGGACAACAATGCCATATTAATGAGAACACAGTCCTTCTAGTTTAGGAAACTGATATGAAAGAGAATGTAAGATCATGGAAACTTAATACTATGTGCAACATATCCTTTTAGTGCAACTGGAAACCAAATGGAACAAATTTCTTCCCCATCTTCAGGGACAAGCTCAAGGTCTCCAACACCTTGAGAATTAGAAGGGGGCCAAACTTGTTTGAAGGCCTCGGGCTGTTGGTAACCAACCATTGAACCTAATCATGAGTCTCTAATTTTACATGAAACTACTTGTGCTCCAGGGGAAGCTCCATTCAGTAATGGCTCCTGTAATGTAAATTGACAAGTTATCACATGTTATAGAAGAATAGTGAGATGAATCAGTTACAGAAGATTACGATGATGACAATTAATGGCATCATTTAACTCGTACAAACTCAGATGAGGGTGTAGATGTCAACTCACAAGTAAAAAGTGATTCACAAGAGTGGATTGAAACCCTAGAAAGTAGGAACAACGCATTCTATTGGTCTGATGATGATAATAATAACGACAAAAGATTTGAACTCGCACAACTTACAAACAGGTAGATAAATCAAATGATTTTGGAAGAGGGTGTAGATGTCATTTGTGATTGTAGATGAATCGTCTCTAATCTTCTTCAAAGAGATTTTGGTGCAAGACTGGATCAGTTGCTGATTTAATCATATACGAATCAAAAAAATCAAGCAATTGAATTGCAAAATGAAGTTGTTTATCCGTTATTAGTTTTTATCCCCCAAACAGAGCAGGAAAGTGAGATAATTAATGGGTTCGAGCCGCCGTTAACGTGTTGGAGTTTCTGTTGATCCGTCGTTGCTATAGAGATGTAGCAAGGTACGAGGAGAGATATAGGGTTCGAGCATGAGAAAGAATTGTTAAAGAGTTTCTGGTGATTGGATTTTATTGGAGGGTGGAGATGCGAAAGAGAGAACGCGCAATAAAGAAAGGTAGGGAAAGTTCTTCACAAAAAGCCCTAGTTCCGATTGGATTCCGGCATCAAAGACAGGTTTTTGTTTGGTCAAAATCTTTGAGCTCCGATTGTCGATCGTAGCTTGAGCCGACTCGAGCAATGGTAGCAGCAATTTTCGTGAAGATGACCGTGTTATATATGCGAAGGTATTCTCTAGAAAGGTGAGTCGATTTTCCTTGCAATTGTGGCCCTATGAATGTAAAGTGTTTGAATTCCTGTGAGAAATGAAGCGATAGAGATCGATCTATGGAGGATGTGGGTCGTTCTTTGAGGGATGAAAAAACCCTAGTTTCTTAGACTTTTTGAGGACGAGGATTTCTAATTTTTAGATTCCCGCGAGGTATTAAGGAGGGGACGTGATGTTTTATGATATCAATAAGGAGGTTAGGAGTGGCAGAGAAGCGGATCGAAGAGGAGAGAGAAGGAGGGAGAGGGGAGAAGATGAAAGATAGAAAGAAGGTAGAAGACGAGTTTTCAAAATTTTGAGGATTTTGTTTCCCACCTCTACTAAACGCACATTTTCATTAAAATTATAGAGCGACAGGTATAGAGGACACGCCTTTAAAACAAATCGCCTCCGTGTTTTTAATTTGTTTTCTTGAGACACTAATTTAAGGGCACTCAATAATGTGTGACGTAAATCCTTCAATTTTTTAAAGTGATGACACTTTTTTAATGTCACTCTCTTTTACGTAACATAAATCAATGAGTGTCATGGTTTGCGCATGGTAAAAGGGTCTTTTTCTTGTAATGGATAATGGACCATAAGATGGTTATGAAGGTTATACGTGAAATTGTTGATGTTAATAAGTTTGGGTTGAAAGGCGTGAAATTAGGGTTGATTGAATTGTGGTGGTGTTTATTGTTGGTAGTAGTTTGTGTGTATGGAAGATTGGTGAATAGAAACTACTGTTGGATTATAGATGTTATCAATTGTATTTAATTAAGATTTGGAAATGGATCATTTGGAGTGTTTGGGGTGTTTGGAGTGGGTGAGGTATTCTGATTTGGATCCATAGGTAGAAATAAAAAATATATGAGAAGAGAGTGTTTTTGTAGCGTAAAATGTTAGTAAAATAGTGAGTATTTATAGTTGTAGTTGATAGGTTTTTAAATTGAAAAAATATTTATTTAGTATATAACAGTAAGAATTTGGTCAAAATGACCGTTACCAAATTTTCCCGTGTCCCATTGGACGTCTTCTTCCGTCTTCGAACTCACGCCATAGCCAGAGCACCAACCCAAGGGGAGGTGTTCACGTGTCTTCGATCTTCCAATGCTAGTAGCCTTATGCATGTTTGTTTAGGAAAAGTGTTAATAGTGATAGTGATGGTGATGGTGATGATATAAGGTGATGTGGTATAGTATGTGCCTATTAATTAACTAGGTTATAACCCATGTACACCACGGGTGAAAAAATTAAAAATAATTTCAGTTAATTTGTAACTTAATTATTAAGCAATGTTTTGTCAGTAATTTCATAATGATATAATGATTGGTTTAAAATAAGAAAGCATAATGGTTTGAATATCCAATCAGCAATTTGTATCTGTAGATATGTTAGAAAATTATCTTTTGTATAATGCAATATAAATTTAAATAAAACAGAAACATAAATTGATATAAATAATGAAAGTGTACATAGTTTTATAGATTTCTAAAATGTTATTTATACACAACATTGGATATTTTATTTTTTTGTTTCCTATCATTATCTAAAATTAACAGTTTTAAATCATTCTTTAATTTGAATCCCAGATAAAACAACATACAACTAGTCATGTGTAAAACCACAATACTTGAGAAATAAACCAACATTCCATAAAGTCTATCATTGGCATCAATGTTCTTGTTTGATATATGTAAATTGATATAAATATAAAATTGTACAAAGTTTTTATAAATTTCTAAAAAATTCTTTATACACAACATTAGATGTTTTATTTGATAGTCTACCATGCTTATCTAAAATTAACAATTTGAATCCCTCTCTACTTTGAACTCTGGATAAAGCAACATACAATTGGTCATGTGTAAAAACATAATCCTTCAGAAACAATCCAAACTTTGATAAAGACTGTTCTTGGCTCTTGTTAATTGTCATTGCAAAACATACAACCAATGGAAATTGTCTTCTTCGGAATTTGAACGGGATCTTGTTTTCAGTAGGAGTTAAAGACACTCTTGGAATAAAAGTCCGATTTTCAATATTACTTCCAGATATTATAACTTCCTCGATAACACATTTGCCCAAAGATTTTACCTGTAGTTTAGTGCCATTACATAAGCCATTTTTCTGATCAATGTTTTTTAATAACATAACTGGAACATCAAATTTTAAAATTAAATTATGGTTTGGCAGACCTGAGATTTTAAGACCATTGAAAACATCAGATGAGTATAAATTTGTATCAAACTGATCATGAACAAACTCATATTGATAAAGCTTATCTGAACTTAAATATTATTTTTGCTCTCCTGGAATTAGTTTTAGCGACCGGTCATTTATTTCTTGGACAAGTTCACTCTTGGGAGCAAGTATTGTTCTTTCTTGAAAGTAACTTGCAATGTTGAAGTTTTCAAGAATTGAAGGATATACAAAATTGATTAATGAACCAATACGATCACATGAATCATTAATGAGAATATCTTATGGAATATGAACAACTGATTCACCATCATTCAAACTAGTAAGATTACCTTCTCCTATGTCCAAAAGCCAGTTTGAAAAACCCGTTATTCGATTAATAGCAGATGGATCGCTTCCAACAGTTAACCTCATTCTTTTTTGTTAATTTATGGACTTTGCATTCTTACCATAAATACGAAGAACTTAAAGAAGCGTTAACAATGTTTTTTCTACTACCACCCGGAATAATAGGTAGAATTTGTTTGAAATCACCTCCAAAAACAACCACTTTCCCTCTAAATGGAATATTTGAGTTTGTACGATCGAAAAATCGTAATATATCCTTCAAAGTTTGATCTAAAGCTTCAAATGCATGCTTGTGTACCATAGGTGCTTCATCCCAAATGATCAATGAGGCTTTTCTTACTAAAGTCGCAAGATCACTCTTTGGATTTATTCTAGAAAAAGAATCATCGTGAAGATTTATGGGAATTATAAACTGAGAGTGTGATGTCTTGCCTCCAGTTAATAATGAAGTGATCCCACTTGAAGAGGCATTTAAAACAATCTCACCTTGGGATCTAATTGTTGCAAATATTATCTTCCAAAGAAATGTCTTACCCGTTCCACCATAACCATAAATAAAGAATACACCTCCATTATTAATTTTAAACTTAGCCATGATATCAAGAAAAATGTTACATTGCTCGTCGGTTAATGAAACAAAGAGCCGATCAAACTCATTCTTCAAATTTGGTATGTCTTAATCTTGCTCCTCGACTATCAAACGATTGTTTCAAGATGAAACCGAATCAACATCTAGGTGATGCATCCTTCTATAGTTCTTGATACTAGAATTGTTTCGGAGTAAAATTT